CCCTTCCAACCCCTACTATTCTGTGATTCTGTGATTCCTCTGCCGAGGGAGGAGTTCCAGGCGAGGCTCAGGAGGATTGCTGAGTCCCGCCGGGGTGCTCTGCGGGTGGCTGCAGATGGAGTATTTCATCTGGGAGCACCAGTCGCTGCTGATCCCGTCAGCGTTGACATAGGCACACTGTCCCTCACCCCGGACGTCGAACCTGCAGCGAAGGGCACAAGGAAAACCGAAAAGGAAGAGAAAAGGTGGGTGCCAGCCGCAGGTCGGCGGCTGAGCACCTCACAGGCCGGTCAGCAGCGCTGCAAGGAGCGGGGAACACCCTTCCCAGCAAACCACCCGCCCCAGGCAGCACCAAACCTGCCTCCCGCTCCACGAAGGGAGGGAATATTTTCAGTTGCTTCGTCCCAGGGATGCCCTCAACCCCCTGCCGGCATCGGCACCACGCAAATCCACGGAGCGTGGTCCGAGTGCTTTAGCTCAAGCAAGAAACGTGGTGTTTAATTGCTCCCACCTCATTAATTTTATATATATATATATGTGTGGGTGGGTGGGGGGTGTCTTCTGGCATTCAATCCCTGCCCCAACTCAGCCCAGGACACGGTTATGTTCTCCAGAAGACACCGGGACGTACAGGTTGTTGAAGAGAGACCCGTTGAACCATTTCCAAGGTCCGGAGCCTTCCCTTCGGAGACCGACCCAGTAGTGCAAGCGACTCCCGTAGCGCAAGAGGAAACGCTGCGGGGAGGGGAGGAAAGCAAGTGTCATAACTATCCTCACGACACACCCTCCGCGGGAATCCCAAATCTGCTTCCCAAAAGCCACCCACACACCGTTTCCTCGGGGATTGATCATTTACCAGCTCCTCCCGGGTGTCGACGGCGGCCAAATGGGCTCCGAGGGAAAGGCAAGAGCTCTGACTCCTGTTCCAGTCCGCTTCGTCCTCCACGAAGTAAAAGCACTTCTCCCGGTACCCGATCCCGTCCTCCAGGCAGCTGGGAAGGACAGGAGCGGGACAGGATGGACAGGACGGGCATTTCTTAGCTGGAAAGAAGCAGAACACGTCCTGGTGACCTACGCCGGTGGGTTGTCTCCAGGGGAGGAGAAGGCTTTGGCGGTGGGCACCTCCGTCCTCCGTCACTTACCCGCCAGCGCGATGATGGTGAGGAGCAACGCCGCTACGACCACGGTGACCCCGATGGGGACCTTTTTATCCTTAATGCACTTGAGGCTAAAACCTGGGGACAAACCGCATGGAAGAGGCATGGCCGGCAAACCCAGGGCATGAAGACCACCCCAAGCTCCCTGCAGCTCTTTCATTTCCCCCCATGGGTGCCTTTGACACCTTTAAATGCAGCCAATAAAGCACGTAGGAAGGCCACAGCGGGGTGCATGCTCAGCTCACGGGGTGCATCCCAGTGCTTTCAGCAACATCCGAGGATTTTTAGGCCTGCCTGACCTCATTGCGTCCTCTCCATCCCAACTCAGCCACGCGAGGTGGGCCCCATGCCCTGACCCACAGCTTGGGCCTCTTCTCCCAAGTAACGAGCAACAGGACGAGAAGAAACGGCCTCAAGTTGCGTCAGGGGAGGTTTAGATTGGATTTTAGGAAAAATTTCTTTGCTGAAAGAGTGGTCAGGCATTGGAGGGTTCAAAAAATCCCTGGAGGGGCTCAAAAAACGTGTGGATGTGGCACTTCGGGGCATGGTTGAGTAGGCACGGTGGTGTTGGGTTGGTGGTTGGACTCGATGATCTTAGAGATCTTTTCCAACCTTAATAAGTCTATGATTTATGATTCTTGGGCTGCCCTGCGCCTTGCAAACAGCTTTACCTTCCTTGCATCCTCCTCCCCTCCACTCACAGCTACATTCACTAAATTTTAGCTGTCCACGTCACGCTGAGCCCAGCCACGACCTCCAGAACAAGACTGGTGCTTACTGGTCCCTTCCTCCGCCCTCTGCTGCGACGGCATCATTACAGCAGCTGAGCCTTCACCTGTGCAAAGGAAACCAGGTTCTGTGAAGTCGTTCCACAGGAAATGACAAACCTTGGTTGTTTTTTTCTCCCAGGACAATCCACGGAAAAAGGCCCATTTCCACTTCATCTGGTTTACATGCACGGCAGGAAGGGGAAACGTGATTTCTGTCTTCATAAAGGGCTTTGTTTCTCCAGGCCAGCTTTGATTTATTTTATTGGCTTCTGTCGGCTCTGCTTGCCCTGGAGAAGTTTTGACTCAACTGCTTCCACATCTCTTCACCTGCAAGGTGCTTTCAGCTCCAGTCCCCACCCCAGGGCCCTCATCCCATGCTGGATGGTCCTTCAAACCCATCTGAGCCAGCCCCACAGCACAGAAACCACCCCCTCATCTCCCCATCCTACGCGGGGCGGCTCTTAAAGCCTCTACGAGAGGGGATGGTGCTTACGTACCTGCATCGGGAGCAGCTTCTGGCATCCTCGGGGACACAGAGGGGACAGCAGCACCCTCTGGGGACGAGCAGGTCCCTCAACTCCACCAGCGAGGAGGTGAGCAGGGCGAAGAACCACCTCGAGACCGCAGCACAGCACCATGGACCAGCCAGGTCGCGGGGCTTTGCCAGGATGCTCCTGTGGTCACTAAAAAGACAAAAAAAAGCTCACAATCCTCCCCCAAACCCTCACATCGCTTTGTTTTCCGAAATCTCATCTCCTCAGAGCTCCTTTTCTCCTGTCCCAGCCCTCTGAATCACTGCTCCTCAAGACCACCCACGACGGCATATTTTTCTACGTAGTTCTTGCAAACTGCTCTTCAAAATTCCTTGGGTTTTGGTTTTTTTTTTTTTTCACCTTTCCCTGGACACGGCCTTTTCCCAACGCCCACTGCAAAACACCAACAGATTCAGATCTCTCCTCGCAGGAGCCAAAAGCCAAAGCGGTCCCCGGGCAGGAGCTATTTGCAGAACATTTGCAAGAAAAGCCACAAATAAACAGAAAAAAGGCCCCCACCGATGCAGAACAGAAAAGCCTGCAGCTGCCGAGCAGCCCCTGAAACCCCTGGCAGCTGCAGCTCCTCTAAAAAAAGCGCTTCCGTATTTATTAAAATCACATCTACCCAAGGCCGGCATCAGAGGGACAGCTGGTGATCCTGTTTAGTACGAGCGGTGTAAATATAACTCCCACTACCCCTCCCCATACTTTGGACCTTGTCTATTTACACCAAATATTCTCCAGGTAGGAACAACCTTCAAGAGTTTGCAAAGGTTACCAATCAAAAGGGTGGGGGGGGTTTATTTATTTCCACCCCAAACACTTGGTTTTGAATAGGGTTTCGCTGAGGTAGCATTTTGCTCCTGTACCCGACACCCAAACCCAAATTACTCCCGCTCCAGGCTGCGGCGTGGGGCGTTCTGAAAGCAGGTGATGGAGGAAGGGGGAAGGAAACAAAAAAAAAGACACCGAGAGTGGAATAACAGAGAAACTCGATCCTCAGAAACTACTCCCAAACACGCTGGGAAATAAAAGGCTTTTGTGTCCTGGAAAGGGTGCCAAGAACATTACAAGCGAGCACTGGCTTAAGTTTATGGCCTTGGCAGGGGGAAGCATTGCTGTCCGGTGAAGCAACGCCTTCGCCAGAGGCACGGGGAAACAAATCAACAGCGCTTTTGTCTAGCGAGGAATCCACGCAGCAAGGAGGACTGAAGCCCTGCTGCCGGGTACTGCTGCAAAGAAAGGAAAAATCCACCTTTCGGACAGAAAAGAAACCACCTTCTATCTGCGAAGACTGGAAAAAAACCACCTTCTGTCTTCGAAGACTGGAAAAAAAACACCTTTTATCTGCAAAGAAAGGAAAAATCCACCTTTAATCTGCAAAGAAAGGATAAAAAACACCTTTAATCTGCAAAGAAAGGATAAAAAACACCTTTAATCTGCAAAGAAAGGATAAAAAAACACCTTTTATCTGCAAAGAAAGGATAAAAAATACCTTTTATCTGCAAAGAAAGGATAAAAAATACCTTTTATCTGCAAAAAAAGGATAAAAGCCACGTTTTATCTGCAAATAAACCCCACCCTCTGCACGCTCAGAGGAACGTGGGCTTCTCCGCTCCAGCTTCCTAGCCCAAACTGGCAGGGGAATCGCTGCCGGGCTTGGGGTTCCCAGCTCCTGGGAGCTGCTGGGAGAGGACAGGGAAGCTCCCACTGAGCAACCCATCTCCACCACGCGGTTGTTTTCTCTGTGGCAGAGGAAAAATTGCAATTTGCCCTCTCTGTGCCCACTGCCTCCAGCCAGATGAGGGACTGAAACACACGCAGGGACGCTCTGCGCTCCCGAATCCCAAATTTATCCCCTACCTGCAGCACTGGAGCAAGAATCCAGAAAATTGGAAAAAAACAGGAGTGGCCAACACCAGGCAGCTGCCAAGACCCCACTCCCTTCTACATGTTTCCACAGACAGAGGTCGTTTGCTGACGAAAACCGTTGCCTTAGGAACCTCCTTATCGAATCCCTGGATTTTTTTTCCGGTTCATCTCACATCCCGCTCCATCTCCCAAAGCGAGACAGGCAGACGGGGGATTCTGCACCCCAAGTCCCCCTGATTTTGGGATTCTGCACCCCATGTGCCCCCGGTTTGGGGACTGTGCACCCCAGAACCCCCTGGTTTGGGGACTGTGCACCCCAAGTGCCCCCTGATTTGGGGATTCTGCATCCCAAGTGCCCCCGGTTTGGGGATTGTGCACCCCAAGTGCCCCCTGGTTTTGGGATTCTGCACCCCAAGTCCCCCTGATTTTGGGATTCTGCATCCCAAGTGCCCCTGATTTTGGGATTCTGCACCCCATGTGCCCCTGGTTTGGGGATTCTGCACACCAAGTCCCCCTGATTTGGGGATTCTGCCCCCCAAGTGCCCCTGGTTTGGGGATTGTGCACCCCAAGTGCCCCCTGATTTGGGGATTCCGCATCCCAAGTGCCCCCGATTCGGGGATTCCGCATCCCAAATCGCCCCGATTCGGGGATTCCGCATCCCAAATCCCGGCCAGGCTCTACCGGGACTCGCAGAACCGGAGCACAGCACCCAAGCTTGATGCTTTTTGGGGTGCAGCAGCACCTTCGACGCCATCAGCATCGACAGCGATTTCTTCGTTCCGTCTTCGCAGCAAAGCTCGCTCCGTTTTTCCGTGACGCGACGCACCGCACCAAGAGACACGGCCCGATAAAAGGCACGAGCCCGAGCAGTGATTATTCCAGCTCGCAGCTTTCCCAAGGCTCCGGTTCCTCCACCGTCCGTCCCACCACCCCGCACCGCAGCCCCACAGCCCACCTCGACCTCCACCGGGCCCCGCAGGTGCGGAGTTTGCTTTCCTCCCCTCGCTCAGCTCACCCTTTGCTGGCAATCCCGGCCTCAAACCGTTTCAGCAAGTCGTTTGGGTTTGGCCCAGCCGTCGCCGGAATGGAGAACTAAGCTCGAGTCCCAACTTCCTTCACCCAGGCCCAGCCCGAAGCTCCCACCACGCAACGCTCTCCTAACCCTTTTTCCCCCAGGCTTTAACTTGTGCCCCATAACTCACCGCTCGGTCCAAGGGTGCAAACGCCGGGAAGCGAAACAATTCCAGCTCTCCTGGCTCCGCTGCCGACCGCTGGAGGCTCTTCAGCCCACGCCGAGACGTGCCATTGCCCGAGCAGAGGCAGGCTGGCATCCTCAGCTTTTCCTGCCAGGGCTAAGCGGTCTCTTGGGAGTTCTCATCCCATCTCTTGTCTCCTACAGAGAAATACAGAGGGGATTTAAAGCTTTCTATACATTCTCCAGCAAGAAAAAAAACAACACAAAGAAATATTTGGGATGGGCACATCAGCAGGTTGCCCCGGAGCAGCGGCGCATGAAAATAAAAACAAAAAAACCCCAGAGGAAGGACTCCACCCTCAGCCATCAAAACAATCAGCTCCAAGCCAATTTAATTAAAGCAGCACTCAGCAGCGCTGACCCTCCTCTGCCTCCTCCCGCGCCCGTAAGCAGCCAGAAACCTCTGCCCGCTCCCCGGCCGGGGCCTCTTCCCCACTTGAAAGGTTCAGTTCCTTTTGCAAAAGGAGCGTTTGAAACCAAAACTGAACGTGGGGGGGGGCAAAGCTGCTGCTGTCTGCCCCAGCTGGCGACAAGCACAGAAAATAAAGCTACATGCGGGCCGGAGAGCCGGAGGGCGATGTCAGATTTCCCTCTCCCATGCAGAAATCGTGGAGGAACCGGTGGGAAAGAGCGAGAGGAGCTGGGGAAAACAATCGAGGCGGCGTTTTTCTACCTGGTGGGAAACGCCTCTCTCTTCTGCATTGGCTCCCTTCTCGTTCTCAGCAGAGCCCGCGGGTGAGGAGGAGCGCGGGGACACGCGTGGGTCTGCCCAGGGCTGTTTGCGGGTGCGAGGCCGCGCACGGGGGCTCTCGGGGTGCCCCCTCAGCTCGATTCCGCCCCCCAGAAGCAGCTGAGGGTGGTAGGGACAAACCCAACGCGGACGATGGATGAGGAAACCCTCGCTGCGTCCCCCTCCAAGCGCAGCGGTGTGCGGGGCTGCTGCAGACGGCCCCTTCCCAGCGCTCCCAGTCCATCTGCCCACGAGCATCCCAGTTCAGGCAGCTGTTTGCACGCAGCGGGGACGGGAGGGAGCGCAACACCATGGGGCAGCCCCACGGAGCTCCACGCCGCGCTCTGAGCTGGGGAAGCCCCGTTTCTGGAGGTTGATGCTATAGGGAGAGGGCTCTCCTCTCTTCCCCACCTCCCCGGACGCGGCAGCCGCGGCTTCGATGCGCAGCCGGCCCCGTATCCCGCGTTCCCTGTCCCCCTCCTCTGCTCAGTGAAGTCCCCTCCTCGGGGACCCCTTCCAGCAGCCCAGGGTGCTCAGAGCCCCGTCCAACCCGGCCCTGAACCCTTCCAGGGAGGGGGCAGCTGCTATGGGCAACCTATTCCAATGCCTCACCACCCTCAGAGTGAAAAATTCACTTCTTGCACCCAACCTAAACCTCCCCTCTTTCAGCTCAAAGCCATCACCCCGTGTCCCATCCCTCCATGTCCTTGTCACTGCCCCTCTCCAGCTCTCACAGCCCCTCCAAGCACTGGCGGCTCCTCTAAGTCCTCCCTCAGCGTTCTCTTCTCCAGGCTGCCCCAACTCTCTCAGCCTTTCCTCGCAGCAGAGGGGTTCCAGCCCTCAAATCATTTTTAATTATTCATTTTAAATCATTTTTAATCCCCCCCCCCAGCCGCTTTATTCCGTTTTAACCCGAACGCTCTCACCGCCGCGCTTCCTCTCTGCCTTCGCAACGCCGCTGCGAGCGCCGTGCCGCGAGCGTCCGTCCGTCCGCCCG